GGGCTGCGAGGAAAAGCGACACTCCTGAACTGGTCAAGGTGGTGATCCGGGTGACTGAGGAGTAGCAGAGAGTAGTATCAATGAGGAGACTGTGCATCGACCTGTGGAAGAGGTTGGTGGAGCTGAGGGAGCCAAGGTCCAAAGGAGAGGTCCAGGATAATGTGACAGGAGACGCTAGGACTTTAAGAAACAAAACGTGGAAACGGGAGACAAAAGATATAATCTGATATGAAACGCAGGCTAACAACATAGAAAGAACCAGCAAGGGAGTGAAGGAAAAGCCGAGTATAAATAGGGAGTGACAAAGGAGGCGCAGCTGAAGAGTGTCAGAAAATCAGGACAGGTGTGTTCAATCAAGAGAATCAGTGAGAAGGAGCAGACTAGAGCGAGAAGGAGAGAAGAGAGGAAGGTGCAGCCGGGCAAACCTGACATATGCAAACAGTACTTAAAGCATCAATCCCATTTTGACACTATTCATGGTTTTAATAACAAATACATGTACATTTATTTTATTTATAAATAAAAATGTTTTTATAGGAGACACATAAAAAACACTAAGAACATCAACATTTATTTGAAGGTTTGAAATCTGCTGGTTTGATCCCCAGTTTCTCCAGTCTACATGTGACCGGTGTGTGAACGTGTTTGTGTTTGTGTGAGTAAATGCGAGAATGAGAAATAGAATACTGCACATGTTTGCAAAGTTTGTGTATTCTTTGTTACTTTTCTATAAAATAAGGGGAAATTGTACCTGCTCTTTTCATGTATACTATATGTGTGACCATATAAAAACTAAAATTAAAAAACTGATGTGTTGCTAAAAGTGAAAACTCTCGAGTCTACTGCTGACCACTGAAACAGGACCGCTAATGCCTAGATTTATTATTATAGTAGTATTATAATAGTACCAACACTGGTCTCTACTGCATCTAACAGAAGTGGGTAGTAGATCTGTGTGAGACTTACAGTTTCTATTTCCCTCTGTGTTTGTCAGGATGGTCAGTCAAGGACTATCAGGCAGTTTCAGTTCACTGACTGGCCAGAGCAAGGAGTGCCAAAAACTGGAGAGGGTTTCATCGACTTTATCGGCCAAGTCCATAAAACTAAGGAGCAATTTGGACAAGATGGACCAATCACTGTGCACTGCAGGTAACCGTAGCCTTGTGTTTACTCCTGCTGCGGTGCCATAAACCTGTTTACACAGTCACAATGTGGGGACTCCACACCCTTAAGGGGACAAAAAGCAAGTCCCCAACACATTGATCATTACACTTTAGAGTGGAAACCTGGTTTAAGGTTAGGGGAAGGGTTAGGCTTAGAAAAGTAGTGCTTATGGTTAAGGTTAGGATAGGTCTTCAGGAAGTGAGTGTAAGTCTATGTAAAGACCTGGTACAGATAAATGACAAAAACAAGGATCTCTCTGTGTGAGAGAGAAAGAAATTCAGCATTTCATCATCATCACTGTTCATTTTTAAGTTTTAGTTTTGCACATATTTAGAAAGAACTTTAGATGTACACACAGCTTGTTCATCAAACAAAAATTTGGAAACCTTTATACCTTAGTATTGTTATGACCCTTACATTTACAGTATATACGTCTTTCAAAACATGCAGCCCATTCTTAGACCACAATAACAACAAAAACAGTGACAGTGAACCTGCTTCGTTTTTGTTTTAAAGCTTGATACTCACTGTATTTCTCTGATAATACAAGCAAATAAACAAATAAATAAAGCATTGTTAAAGGATTTGGGCTGTGATTTTTTTATGTTCTTTTTCCCACAAATTCCATATAGAGACAAAAATCAACAATAACATTTATTTACTCGCTGCAGTGTCTGTGACTCCAGATCCTGGTTTAGCTAATTCATCTGTGCCATAAAATTCCATTGTTGTCCAGAAAGCACAATCAAAAGCAACGAGCCACACTGCTGCGCTGGGTGGCATGTTTCTTTTCCACTAAATGATTGTGGTACGTCTTAATTCAAAGAGGAGCTACAGAATGTTACGTGCTGGCCGTCCTTAGCCTTTGGACCTTTTTGTTTTTTAAAGACAGATCTTACATTTTTTTGTGAGGAAGAAACTTGCTACCCAGTGCAGCGGTGTGGCTCACTGGTGTGCTGTTAATAGTTTAATAGTTTTGTGTGTGTGTGTTGTTTTGACAACAGTAGAGGCCTACAGCACAAACCAATAAGCTAAACCAGATTCAGAATTCACAGACATCCAAACATTCACAGACAAATTCACTGGCTGTGGCTCAGGAGGTAGAGCGGGTCGTTTCCTAACTGGAGGATTAGCAGTTCGATTCCCGGCTTGTCCAGTCAACATGTCGAAGTGTCCTTGAGCAAGACACTGTACCCCCAGTTGCTCCCGGTGATGTTCACCGGTGTGGGAGTGTGAATGGCCAAATAGTGTGAAAGTGCTTTGAGTGTGCTTTAAAGCAAAGAAAGGCGCTATACAAATATAAGACCAGACCATTACCATGCATTATGGTTAAAGGTACTACAGTTATATTTCTCTTTGGTTATTACTGTCTAAAAAATAATACTCCAGCTTTCTCCCACAGTCCAAAGACATGCAGCTTAGGTTGACTGGTGACTCAGCCCTGTGATAGACTGGAGACCTGTCCAGGGTGGACCCCGCCTCTCACTCAGTGTCAGATGGGATTGGCTCCAGCCCCCCTTGACCCTATTCAGGAGTGAGCAGTATAGATAATAGATGGATGGATGGATTCCTTTTCAAACTATAGTTTGAAAGAGCCAAGAATGAGGGAGCCAAAAGAACAGTGAACAAGAGAGTTGAAGAATCATGGACATAGGACAGTGCCACTTAGTTTGTGTGAGCGGCTCTTTTGGCTCTTTCATTCACTAAAACCTTTCGATCTTGGCTCTTTGAACTGAAAGAGCTGCTGAAGGAGAACGATAAGAGCCACAAAAGTTGGTGAACGAGAGATAAGAGAGTCTAGAGTCACCCATGATCTTTACCCATGCTCAACACACGACGTCCGCAACAGCGAAGAGTGAAAACACTTGATTTGGCCCAAACACAGTGCTTCACTTCAGAATATAGTGGAAAGCTCCCTCCTACTCTGAACGTCCAACATTATCCCTGTTCTCAAGAAACCCTCCATCAGTGGACCGAATGACTCTAGGCCTGTCGCCTACAGGTCAGTGGACGATGCAGTCAACATGGTACTGCATTTCATCCTACAACACCTAGTCTCCCCAGGGACCTATGCATGGGTCCTTTCTGTGACTTCAGCTTGGCGTTCAACACTATCATCCCAGACATCCTCCACTCTAAACTGACCCAGCTCATTGTGCCTGCCCACACCTGTCAGTGGATCACTAGCTTTCTGACAGACAGGAAGCAGCAAGTAAGGCTGGGGAAAACCACATCCAGCACCTAGACAGTCAGCACAGGCAGCCCCCAGGGATGTGTGCTCTCCCCATCGCTCTTCTTTCTCTCCACCAGCGACTGCACCACAGATTACCTCTACGTTAAACTCCTGCGGTTTGCAGACGACACAGTGGTCATCGGTTTCATCCGAGATGGTGACAAGTCTGCATTCAGTTCCGAGGTTGAACAGCTGGTCCTTTGGTGTGAACATGCTCAAAACCATGGAGATGATGTAGACTTCACATACACACTGAGAGCCAATGTACCAGAGTCAACAGTGGTGCAGTGGGTAGAGCAGGCATCTCCCAACCGGAAGATTAAAGGTTTGAATCTCGGTCCCTCCACATGTCAAAGTGTCCTTGGGCAAGACACTGAACCCCAAGTTGCCCAGGCTGGCGGCACATGTGCACGCAGGGGCCCTCGGCTCCAAACATTATTTTGTTGTACGTGTTACAATAAAATAAAGCATTTTCTTCTAAAGCCCTTGTGTGTTCAGCATACCTGGCCATTTATTGGCTGATTCTGATTCTAAAATGAATAACTTGTCAGAAGAGAATAAATGAGAAGCATCATTCCAGCATCTGACTCCTTAATCCCTTGTGTTTAGAGTTCATTCCATTCAATCTGCAGAATATGCTGTAAGGAGGCTAAAAGAGGACTTTTTGGGGCAAGACTGGGATGCAGTTTACAATGAGGAAGACTTAGATAAAGCATATGAGCAATTTT